ACTGCATTGCCCAGACTAGAGTACAGTGGCCTGACTGTAGCTCACTGCAGCCTTGAACTCCTAGACTGAAGTACCCTCCTGCCTCAACCTGCCTCAACCAAACACAGCAAAAACCAATGACTGTGCTGACAGCGCCCTTCAGTGGCCCAGTCATTTGAAGATTTCAACTTGTCCAATGTGGGGTCACATCTGCCCAGCTACAGTTGTCTCCAATAAGCTAACTCCAAAGGCACATGTTGTAGGGGAGTAGGGAGTAACATGGTAAGTGACGGGAGCTTAAGGAAAAATCCTTGAGGGATTTGGCAGAACCCAGTATCACAGCGCCAAGGACACAACAGATTTCCTGTTTCATCAACTGAAGAGAGAGATGGCAGTCCTGTCCTACCTCAGACACATCAACAAATTGAGCCTTTTGAGAAAAAGATAAACAGAAGCAAATAAGAGAATGAGTAGCACGCTCACCAAAAAAATAATTGTTAATTTTTTTTTTTAAAGAGACAAAGTCACTTTATCGCCCTCGGTAGAGTGCCGTGGTGTCACAGCTCACAGCAACCTTCAGCTCTTGGGCTTAGGCAATTCTCTTGCCTCAGCCTCCTGAGTAGCTGGGACTACAGGTGCTCCCCACAACGCCCAGCTATTTTTTGGTTATAGTTGTCGTTGTTTGGCAGGCCCGGGCTGGATTTGAACCCACCAGCTCTGATGTATGTGGCTGGCGCCTTAGCCACTTGAGCTATAGGCGCTGACCCATAAGAACTTCTTAATAGAATTGTCCAGTGGTAGGATGGATTGCCTCAGAAGACAGGAATACTCCAGTACAGTGGGGTTCTCAACCTTCCTAATGCCGTGACCCTTTAATACAGTTTCTCATGTTGTGATGACCCACAACCATACAATTATTTTTGTTGCTACTTCAGAACTGTAATTTTGCTACTGTTATGAATCGTAATATAAATATCTGATATGCAGGATGGTCTTAGGTGACCCCTGTGAAAGGGTCGTTCGACCCCCAAAGGGGTCTCGACCCACAGGTTGAGAATCACTGCTCTAGTACATATTCGATAATCTGGCCAATATAGTCATTTTGCTCAACAACTAGCTCTCTGCTAGGCCCCTGGACATACCCATCCATCCTCAAATGGGTTGGGGGTGGGGGGAAGCTAGATAATTTCAAAGGCTCATTTTTCAGCCTGAGACTACAAATCCATCTGAATTCTTAAGATCAATACACATCCAGAGCAGTGGCTATGGCTCAGTGGGTAGGGTGCCGGCTCCATATACCAAGGGTGGCGGGTTTGAACCCGGCCTGGCCAAACTGCAACAACAAAAAAAATAGCTGGGTGTTGTGACAGCACCTGTAGTCCCAGTTTCTTGGGAGGCTGAGGCAAAAGAATCTCCTAAGCCCAGGAGTTGGAGATTGCTGTGAGCTGTGAAATTACAGCACTTTACTGGGGGCGATAAAGTAAGACTCTGTCTCTCAAAAAAAAAAAAAAAAGATTAATACACATCCATATTAATAAGATGCCATTTCTTCTTTCCACACACACAAACCCAAACAGGGGGCTCTCCATCTTTCTATCTGGCCCTTTATAAAGAAAATTTCCTTCTCAGTAGAGCAGCAGGGCCCCAGGTTCCATGATCTGTAGCAACACTTGACCACACAACCCTGAGCTGTCAGAAAGACGTTCCCTCCTGGGTCCCTGGTCAGTAAACAACATTTTCCTCTCCTCTGTAGCAGCAGTGTCCAGGGCTGGCTGGCACCCCGTCTGCAACCCAGAACATGGCTAAGAACCAGAGGAAAGTGACCCATCAGTACTGGGCCAACTCGAATCCCAGTTCTGGAAATGACGCGAGACCTTACCTTCTACTGAGGGAGAGAAGATGATGAGATTGTCATACAGGAACTCTCCATACTTAATGAGGGACAGGCTGGGGTCATCAGCAGTCTTGAAGGTGAGTTCAAAGCCCCGATCTGGAAAAGAAAACGGGTAGCTGAGGCAGACTGGACGGAAAGGGAAACCCCTGCTGTAGACGTCGCGACCTCCCATCCCAAGCTGCAGACCAGACCTGGACAGCCTGCTACAGAAATGAGACGGGGCGAGAGGGACGGTGCTGCGTGCCCTCCGGTGCCGTCCCAATCCCTCGGTTCCCGCTCTCACCCTTCAAGCTCCGGAAGAAAAGCGAGTGCGTCTCCCGCACGTTGAGGTTGTCCAGCAGCACTAAGGTGCGGGGACCGCTGGCCAAGACCGAGCCAAGCAAGAGCAACAGCAGCCAGAAAAGGGCCCAACCACGGGCACCGCCGCCGGACTCCATCTTCCTCATTTTGCCAAAGAACCCAGCACCTGGACACCGGAAGTGCCCCATCTGGGGTCCCCCAATCGCGGCTCGTGGCCGTGGAGTACACCGGAAGTGATCGGGATAAGCCGAGGCGAGGTGAACAGAGCCGCAGCTTTGGCGGCAGGCAGCGGAGAGCCCTGCCGGAAGCGCCCCGGTTAGAGGCGGAGTCCTTGAACTCTATTGGTGGAAGGGGCTCGAGGCCCCGCCTCACCAAAGAAAAGGCTCAACCCTAGACTGACAGCTCTGCAGCCGGGGCCAATCATCACGGCCCAGCGCCCAGTGCCTCCGCCCCGGCCAGGTTCCCGCCCCGCGCCCGGTGTCCAGCGCCCCGCGCCAGCTTTTCGCAGGAGCTTGAGGCGGGTCCGGACCTCGGAGGGTCTACATCTTCGCTGGCGTGGTCTTCACAGGCCAGGACGGACTCAGGACTGGGAACAAGACCCCACCTCCACCATCTCTAGGGAGGAAGGGGTTGGAAAATTAAGATCAGAGACGGCGGCATTTTGGACCTACCACCTGCCACTCAGGTCTCCAGGGGCTTTGGCCGGGGCTGTCCCACCCAACTTGGTTGCCACGGTGCAGACAGTGTAGATGGGCTGTGGACAGGCCTAGCGATTAAAAGGTTCTAGCTTTAGAATCGGAGCTGGGCTCAGTTCCAAACCTCCGCCTCTGTCTCTCACTATGATGCCCAGGCGGGTCTCAAACACCTGGCCTCCCGAAGCGCAGGGATGACAGGCAGGACCTCCTGGCCAAACCTCCTAATGCAGGTTTGGAAGCACTTAGCACAGTGCTTGTCTGAGCATCCACTCAGTAATACTGGCCCCCATCCCTGCTAGGTTGATACAGGGGCCATCCAAGTCACCTCAAACCTAGCTCTGTCCCACCATGAGTCTAAGTAAAAACTATCATAAGCAGTCCCAAGACTTCTGTTGTCTGGGGCCAAGCTAATTGGAGAGAAAAGGTAACAGTTATTTTATGACACATGTCCAGCAATCCAAGAATGAGGCAAAAATCACAACTTTCTTCCATGCATCTCCTTAAGCTACGCCCCTAACTTCTCCAAAGCCCAGCCTTCTCACCCTCTGCACATAATGCCACGTCAATCTACCTCTAATTCAGACCCAGCGGTGCCAACCTGTTCAGGAGTCTGCCACAGCTCAGGGACACCCTAAGGCGCTTCACTCTAAGGTTGCTAGCTACTCATCTCAGCAGCCTCTTCCCCTTCTCAGCCTTTAACATACCCTGAGCTTCCCCAGCTCCTGCCCTAGGAGCACCCTCCCTGCACTCCCACCTTAGATCTCACAGGTCAGGATCTTCATCCTTTATGGGACCCCCACCCAGTGCTTATTTCAGAAAGCTACTGTTTCTCATAGAAGTCTGATCTCCCTCTAATTCAGTATGTACTGCAGCCTGCCTCTGGTTAGACTTATCTCTAGTTACCTAAGCACCTTCCACCCCGGCTCCAGAGTGTGAGTTCCTTGGGTCAGGCATGTGGCTTGTGCAGCCTGCCACAAAACTGATACAAAATAGGAAAAGAACTAACACGGAGCACCTGCACCCCAGGAGCTTTATGTACCCGCTCATCTCACCTTCACAATAACCCTAGGTGAGCTGGGTGTTATCCCCATTTCATGAATGAGGCTCAGTTCCCTCAGAGGGTGGGGCACCCAACTGGAGGGTGGGGAGAGCTGAGATACAATGGGCAAGGAGCAGATGTGTCCTAGGTAGCCCCCTAGCTGGGCACAAAGTGGCCTGGATTCATTTCTGGCTAAGTCAGGATACCCAATTCCAGCAGAGTCCCCTGAGGACTGTCGTCAACATGTGGGCCCTTTTCTGTCCTCAGCAAGACACGGCCATATATCCCACAACAAGGGCTCTGCTCTCCTGGGTTACAGCTCCTTTGGGAATCTAATGGAGTTCAGATGCTCAGGAAGAAATGCACTTGCACTCACAATTGCAGGGAGTTGCAGATATCCTAGAGTCTGTTTGTTCTAAAGGTCTCAGGCAGTTAAGAACCCCTGTTCCAGGAAGAGCTTCCCCATGATAGCCGGGCAGAAATGATAAGGTGAGACCCCAAGAGACACCGTCAGAGGGTCAGGGAAGGAGCGCTCATCCTAAAAGGCAGTTTATTGGGCAGCTTAATGTGAAGTGGCCTTCTCTAGGCCACGGACCAGCCAGCAGTGGGCAGCATGGGAAGAGCTGCTCCAGAACTTCTGTGCCACCCTGCCCGGCAGGCCTGCCCTCGAGAAGTGGGGCCAGTCGGATGAAGACACAACTCTCAACTGCCAGGATTCTGAGCTTTATCCACGTGACAGTTGCTGCCCTCTCTCCAGGGCTGCTGAAGGCCATGAAGCAGGTCTGAGGCTTCTGAGGTAAAGACCAACACTGGTGGGTACTAAGGGCAGGCTCTGTGGCAGGTGAGATGGTGGGAACACTGAGGCGGCACAGACAGCTGCCACACAGGACAGCCCAGCCTGAGGGACTCACGCCCCAGGCAGGGGGGTGTTCTGTGGGGAACAGGGAAGGGAGTATGTCTTCCCAGGGCTGAGGGACCCCGTAGGTCTCTGGATCACTGTGGGGGCAGATGGGAGAAAGCCTGGTTGGGGCTGCCCTGGGAGGGCCTGGCAGTCTCTAGAAGCCGAAAGGCAGGTAGCAGCAGGCAGCTGTATTCACAGCAGCTCACTGCCAAAGTTGCTTTTGCTTTTCTTCCGCTTGGCCTTGGTGAAAGGGATGTCGAGGGACTCGAGGCGGAAGGGCCGGGGCTGGGGCATTTCAGAGGCCTGGGTGGGCGAAATGGCAGGGTTGCTGCTGAGGGGACAGCTGAGGCCTGGTGGCGAGTTGTGATGCGCTGTAGGGAAGAGGGCAGAGGATGCTGGTTAAGTCAGGAGAGAAGCAAGGAGAGAGAGAATGCCCCAAGTGTGCAGAGTGGGGAATCGGGTCCAGCCCACACCCAGTCACAGGGACCCCAGGCTTAGACCCAGCACTACATCTCCCTCCCAAGGGTCTGGGCTGGGCTAGGGTTTTAAAGCCTCAGACTGAGGCCACCTGAGATCTGAAACCAGACAAGCCTGAGTTCACAGCCCAGCTCTTCCACTTGCAGCAGTAGGGCCTTGGCAAGCCACTTCCCCTCTCTGAGCCTCAGTTTCCACATCTGCAGCATGGGCACAGTGCCTGGCACTCAGCAGGTACTAGTTTCTTCCCTGTCCTGTTTCCCCCCTTATTCCTCTGTCTCTTAAATCATCTTACTATGGAGCTGAGATTTGCTTTCTATTAATGTTTTATTGGAAGCTCTGTAGGCTGTGCTTTTAGTTGTAAAAGCAGAATGAAGCCAATTCTTGAAACCATGTTTTGCTTTTTGCCCCCCCTTGGCTCAGTGGTCCTTGATAGATAACAATCAGCCACCCTCATTTGGAGATGATACTGAGGAAGCTGGCAAGTACCCAGACCCATGCCAGGGCCCTGAGCCATGTGCTGAGGGCCTACTGGTGTCAGAGACAGGATTTAAGGAGACAGAGGGGTGGAGGAAAGAGGATACTACATTGAGTACCCACTGTGTGCTGGGGCCTGAGCTGGGCTGTTTCCCCACCTTGTCACATCTAATCCTGATGAGTAAGTGTTGTCCCCCTCATTTTATAGCTTAGGAAACTGGGGCTCAGAGAGGAAAGGAGTTTTTGAAGCCAGGTCTAGTGGTAGGGGAGGAGGGCTGGAGGAACCAATGGGGAAGAAGTTGGAGAAGCTGGCGGGCAGGCACTCACTGAGGCTCTTCATGAGGTCCGTGCTGAGGATCTGGCTGGCCCGCTTGGGTCGGAAGTAGTTACTGGCGATATTTTCACTGTCACTGCGACTTAGCATCAGCTTGTAGCGGTCTTCTTCCTGCTGGGTCAAGGCCCCATGTTTGTGCAGTCCTCATCTGGGCCCCTGGCCTAGGGCTCAGCAGCCTCTGGAAGCCAGTGGAGTTGGGGGGGTCCCTGATTACCTTCCCCCAGAGTATATCATGCGGCACAGCAGTCACTGGCCACCTTGGGGTACCCTACACCATTGGCCCTGAACTCTTGGGGTAGGATCCAAGGCAGCTCAGGGCCAGGGTCACAATGTCCAGCCTAGCCTACACCCTAACTCCCCGTCCTCAAAACGGGAAATACCTTATTCTCTCCTGCAAAGCTCAAAACACAGTATCCTGCCAGCTCCAGCTAGGGCAAGGGTGACTACATGCCCCAGTCTACCACACCAGTAACACAGTACTATCCCTGGCTCTTAGGTATATTGTACCATCATCAGAACTGGAGTCCCAACCTTTTTGTCACCTTTATTGTCATTATTTGTCATTGCTGTCATGGACCTGCTTTCCTCAGTCTGAATCTCTTCCTTCAGGGACCCAGTGGGATAAGGGGATCACAGTGCCCTATGCTACACAGTGGCTATGTAATCCAGACTGTACAATCACAGAACATCTTCCTGAACGTAACAACTGGCCTGTGACCTACTCTTGGCAGAGAGCCAATCAGAATCTTTCCCCAAGCTTTGGTTTAAGAAAGCTTTAAAAGACTAGGTCTAAGCTGGGGACTGTGGCTCATACCCATAATCCCAGCATTTTGGGAGGCAGGGAGTTTGAGACCTGCCTGGGCAACATAGCAAGACCCCTCTGTACAAAAAATTTTTTTAATTAGCCAGATATGATGGCACACGCCTGTAGTCCCAGCTACCCGGGAGGCTAAGACAGGAGGATTGCTTGAGCCCAGGAATTCAAGGCTATTGTGAGTTGTGATCATACCACTGCTCTTTAGCCTGGGTGACAGAGGGAGTCCTGTCTCAAAAAAAAAGAGACCAGTCTCTCTTCCTTTTGGATTACCAAATGCCAGCAGCCATCTTTCCTGCCATGTTGAGAAAGCCTATATACCAAGGAAGCGGAAACGAGAGGTGAAGACAGACACAGAATCCCAACTGTTTGAGCCTCTAGATCCAGCCAGGCCTGAAATTGGTCCACTTTCATGAACCAATACGTTCCCTATTTTGATTAGGATTGTTTCGTTTCTGTCACTTGGGACTAAAGCATTCTGACATAACCTCTTGTGGGCCCAGGCTAAGAATGTGTTTAGTACTGGGCAGCTCCTGTGGCTCAGTGGGTAGGGCACCAGGATGTCAGGTTCTAACCCGACCCTGGCCAAACTGCAACAAAAAAATATCCAGGCATTATGGCTGGCACCTGTACTCTCAGCTACTCAGGAGGTTGAGGCAAGAGAATCTCCTAAGCCCAGAAGTTGGAGGTTGCTATGAACTGTAATGCCACGGCACTCACTGAGGGCGATACAGTGAGACTCTGTCGCTTAACAGAAAAAAGAATGTTTTTATTCCAGCAGCCACTTTTCCTTTTTTATGAAGTTAAGCTCTCAAGGCAGCCAATCCAGCTTTAGACCAGCACAAGAGATTCCCTGTAGTGACTTTGAATTGCTCAGGCAGAGATGTTTCACTGGAATTCATTAACCTGTGAGTGGCCTTATCATGACTGTAAAGGTATGCTCTGTATGAGTCTTCTGACATATTTGCAAATGGTTTGGAGGAAGATCAGCAAATTATGGTGATGGGTCAAATCTGACCTGCAGACTGTTTTTGTAAATAAGGTTTTATTGAAACATACCACTCATGTATTATCTTTGGCTATTTTTGTGCAACAGCGGCAGAGGTGAGTAGCTATGACAGAGACCGTATGGCCCACAAAGCCTCCAGACTTTCTCTATTAACTTAGCTTGGTAGCTACTGTCCCCAGCAGCCACCAGAGGCCCAGACAGAAATGCACCAGCAGGGGGCCACCTGTGTGGGTTCCTCTCTATTGCCATGCCCTGTCTGTAGTCTGTAATAAAAATTCTTAAGCACTCACGTTGTATCTGTGTCATTGAAGCTGTGCCTGGTACAAACCAGGCAGGTGGCTTCCCTGCCACTACACCCTGTGCTTTTCTGTCTGGGCCTCTGGTAGCTGCAGGGGACAGTAGCTACCAGCTAAGTTAACAGAGAACTCAAAGGGTTTCATTCAAAACAGACATACATTTCTGTTGCTCTATAAAAGATGAGAGACATGAGATGAAAGTGACCTGAGAATCCCCATTACTGTTTCATGGGCCCTTTGAAGACGCTTTTGGTCTGAAGATAGCTGGGGCCCAGGGAATAAGAATGTGCCACTTGTCCTTTGGGTTTGAGTCTAAAGCCTGTGTTCTGTACCACCAGGTAGACCTCCCTACAACCATCTGCTTTCTCTCTGGTTCTTTAATAGCTGTAAGTTTCCCTGGGTTTTTTGTTTTTTGTTTGCTTTGTTTTTTTGAGACAGAGTCTCTATTGCCCAGGCTGGAGTACACCGGTGTCATCATAGCTCACTGCAACCTCCAACTCCTGGCTCAAGTGATCCTCTTGCCTCAGCCTCCCAAGTAGTTAGAACTACAGGTGCACACCATCATGCCCGGCTAATTTTTTAATTTTTTTTTTATAGAAATAGGGTCTCACTGTGTTGCCCAGGCTGGTCTCAAACTCCTTGCTTCACGTGTCTCCTACCTCAGCCTCCCAAAGTGCCAAGATTTTAAGAATGAGCCACCATGCCCAACCTGTAAGTGCCTTTGAATCGGGGCCCCAATGGGTTGAGGGTCTAGGTGCCAAAAGAGAGGTACAGAAAAGAGTCCAGGTTCAGCTCCCTGGCTTTTTAACCTTAGAAGACCAGCCTCTGAAGTTATGCAAACCCACAGCATTCTGGAGGCAAAGCCCTGCCAGCTCCCCAGGCCTCCCGTCCCTCCCTCTCCCGGGGCCTCACCACATTGGGCTCCCCGTTGTCCACTGCAGAGGTTTTGCGGGCTGCTTTGTTCTGTGGCCCAATTGGAACTGCTATGAGAAAACAAAAGCTGGAGTCTCTAATGCCTGGTACAAGGCCCAGAAGCTGCAAGGGGGCCACAATACTCTGTGGTGGGGGTCAGACCCAGCTCAGGCTTCAAAATAGGGGAGGACGCTTCCCAGCCCAAGCCAAGGGATGACTTTGGGAAACACAAGAGGAGAGTTCAGACACCAGAGAAGCCACTCCCTTGCTTCCAGGCAAGATGATCAGTGGATGGGGCAGGCAGAAAGGCTGCTGCTGCCCACAGCACAGGTCTCAGCCCAGATGATGTCAATGCCATCTATAAACAGCAAGGGCGAAGGACCTGGACAAACACTCTGATGGGGGGGGCTTCAGGAGGCCATTGCAGGCTCCCCAAATGAACACAGCCAGGTCCGTGACTGGAGAAAGATCCACGGCAAATATGACTTTACTCTGAGATTTATCAGAGGTGAGGGGCCTTCAAGGTCATCTTATCTAACCCCTTTGGGTTTTTTTGTTTTTTGAAACTGAGTCTCACTATGTCACCCTCGGTAGAGTGCCGTGGCGTCATAGCTCACAGCAACCTCAAACTCTTGGGCTTAAGCGATTCTCTTGCCTCAGCCTCCCAAGTAGCTGGGACTACAGGCACTTGCCACAACGCCTGGCTTTTTGTTGCAGTTGAATGCCCCATTCTCTGTGTGACCTCTTTGGGACCCAGTGTCCTCATCTATGAAATGAGGCACCTTCCTTAAAGTTGCTGTGAGGGGCTTGGTGCCTATAGCTCAACCAGCTAAGGCGCCAGCCATGTACACCTAAGGTGGCAGGTTCGAATCCCCAGCCCGGACCTGCCAAACAACAATGACGGCCGCAACCAAAAAATAGACGGGCGTTGTGGCGGGCGCCTGTGGTCCCAGCTACTTGGGAGGCGGAGGCAGGAGACTCGCTTGAGCCCAGGAGTTGGAGGTTGCTGTGAGCTGTAATGCCACAGCACTCTGCCCAGGGGGACAGCTTGAGGCTCTGTCTCAAAAAAAAAAAAAAAGTTGCTGTGAGGATAAAAGGGTGTTAATATACCTAAAACCCTCACAGTGAGTGCTTAGTGTTATCGTTGTCATCACCACTGTCAACACTGACAACAGCCGTCTGGGGGATAAAGGCTGTTTTACATACATGGAAACTAAATGTCAGAGGGGATAAATGGCATAAAGTCAGTCATAGCAGTGAAAGTGAGCGGTGGGACCATGGGTAGAAACCAGGTGTTCAGAGTTTCAGGCCTAGTTCAGATTCTGCTTTTGCCACTAACCTCCTGTGTGACCTTATGAAGATCACTGTCCCTCTCTGGGCTTCTTTACCAAGGGATTGGATAGGCTCAGCGCCCACAGCACAGTGGTTATGGCACCAGCCACATACACTGAGGGTGGCAGTTTTGAACCCAGCCCAGGCCTGCTAAACAACGACAACTGCAACATCTGTCTACATCCGGAACACACCACCGTCCCAGAACCCTGATATGACCTGGGGCCACATGTCTGCTGCACCCACAGCCTGCAGGACAGGGGACCTCAAGGCAGGGCAGGAGGGCAAGGGCCAAGGGGGCTCCTGACCTACTGGGAGGCTGGTCTTTACGATGAAGGGCTCTGGGATCTTCCAGAAGCCATTATCCTCATCCCAGCAGGACTCCCTACGAATCTTCTCCAGGTTGCTGTAGTTACAGTCCCTGCGAATCAGGGGCTGCACCTGCTCCAGGAGCTGTTGGAAGAACATGGAGTCTCGTTCCTGCCGACGGATGGTGGCCAAGTAATCAATCTTCTCCAGCTCAAACTCCGACTGCAGATCCTTGATCTCCACCTCTGCTGCCCGAAGCTGAAGGCAAAGGACGACAAACGTCTGAGCAGGGAAGAGATGCCTCACCCTCCACCTGACCACCCCTGTCCTGCCAGCACCCACTCAGCGTCTGTTCACTCCTCTGCTCATGAATCCACCCTTATCTCCACCATCCAGCCAGCCATCCCTCCATCCATCCACCCCACTTCTCTGACACGCACCGACCCACCCACCTATGCACTTGCTCATTTCCACCCTCCACCCAGCATTTAAATGAGGACCTAATGTGTCCCCAGCCCTGCAAATTGTAGGGGGAAAGTTGATCCATCAACCCAACCGCCAGCCCTTGGTCATTATCCCCCATGTGTACATTTTATTGGGGGCCTTTTATTCCCCACTGTCCTAAAAGATCTCAGAGCACCCCACATGATTGGTGTTTCTAAGGGAAGCAACAGGCAGAAACTCTCAAAATCAACCATCCTCACTTTCCCACTGCCGTGGTGTGCTTGGTAGAGTGTGATGAACACTGGACTTAAGAGTCGGGCCCACCTTGATTTGACCAGAGATTCCAGGTCTGCCAGCCTGGCCCTCCATTCTCTCCTAAGCACAGGGGCCTGCCAGCCCCAACTATGACCACCCCCCTCCCCCACCCCCGAGTCCCTGGTGCACGGTCCACTTTGTCAAAGGGTAAGGTCAGTCTGATTAATAAAGAAGGACATTGTAAATTCATGGGAATGACAATAACCCAGTTGGGAACACCGGGTAGGACACAGGTGGACAAGCCGTCACGGAGGGGCTGGTAGACAGGGTTTGAACTGAGTACGTAACGCTGCAGCCAACAGAAGGAATCTGGACAAGGATTCTTCTTGCACTCAAAGAAACCTCCAGAAGGAAACACAGCCCCACTAACATCTTGATTTGAGCCTTGTGGAATTCCAAGCAGAGGAACTAGCCCTGCTATCCCCAGACTTTGGCCTACAGAACTGTTACATAATAAATTAGTGGAGTTTTAAACAACTAAATCGTGGCAATTTGTGGCAGCAGCCCATCAGAGCTCTCTTTAGAATGACACGCCATAGGCAGAGAAGCGCTCTGCTGCACAAAGAAACTAACCCACCTGCAAGCTCTGCCTTCAACTGTTAACTGCTAGTCCAGAAAACCAAGACACACAAAATAAACAGAAAAGAGGACCTATATCTAATCAAGGCTGCTGATTGAAACAGAATCAAAACATTTCAGTGCAGAAAAATTTCCCCCAAAGCACAAGCACACAGAACCACATGAGACAATTAAAAATATTAACACAACACCCCAACTTGAATAAATGTTCTTAAATAGGCATTCACAGGCATGACCTTTCCCAGTCAAAAAACTTAAAACAGAAATGGACCAAAAAAACAAGGTGTGAAATGGAAGGCCAAGCTTAGTGGCTCATACCTATAATCCCCGCACTCTGGGAGGCTGAGGCAGGTGGATCACTTGAACTCATGAGTTCAAGACCAGCCTGAACAAGAATGAGACCCCCATCTCTACTCAAAATGGAAAAACCAGCTGGGCATCATGGTGGGCACCTATAGTCCCAGCTACTTGGGGGACTGAGGCAGGAGGATGTGAAATGGGATGGTAATGGAAAGAAGGAACATTAAAACGTATGACGGCTCGGCTGGCTCAGCGCCTATAGCTCAAGCAGCTAGGGTACCAGCCACATGCACTGGAGCTGGCAGGTTCAAATCCAGCCCGGGCCTGCCAGACAGTAATGACAACTACAATTAGGAAATGGCCCAGCGTTGTGGCAGGCGCCTGTAGTCCCAGCTACTTGGGAGGCTGAGGCAAGAGAATTGCTTAAGCCTAGGAGTTGGAGGTTGCTGTGAGCT